GGCTCTTTTTCCTGCAGATTCAACTCCTGCAAGTATGCCATTTCCCTCAAGGGTTCAGGGCACTTCTGGCTTTGGGGTGGTGGAGGGGGGGTGATCTAGCAGTCTGGTCGGTGCCCCAAGCGCTTGGGAATCATATGCAATGGGACCCAAGAAGACCCACATTTGAGATTGAAACCACTTATCAATCTGTACATTTGATACATCCTAGACCCTAGATCCTTTGACTGTTGCAGTTCCACGCGCAGAATCCACGGAAAGCCCGTAACCCTCCCTGGGCCCAAAAATGTTAGATACCATTTTGGGTGGTATATCATGCACTTGACGTGCTGCACCCTGGAAGTTGCAGGGTGTGGGGGCTGCCAGAACGCACCATCCTAAACGACGAGGTCCCAAACCAACAGACATGCGCTCACTTTAGAGCGATGCCAACTTACCCTGCGCTGAACTCTTCGAGCCAGCTTGTACATGAACCCGATCCTAGACCTTGCACATCCGGCTCAACTTCCACCACGCGGCCAGATGAGCGGAAGAACTGCCATGGACTGGGACACGCGAAGCCCGCGCAGGAAGCTCGAGACGTGTCGGGCCTGGCCGGCTCACAGCGCCCGGGGTTCAGGGTTTACCGATCCTGCCCTTGTTTTGTATATAGGGCCCGTATGCAGATTCTACATAAGATACTCGAAAGTAAGCCCTAAACCCCTAAACCCTAAACCCTTCAACCCCGGAGACCCATCATTATCAACCCGAGCAGTTCGAAGTTCAGGGTCCTCAGCTTGCTTCACCTTTGCAACCCCAGCACCCGCCCCCAGAACCCTCACAAGCCTTTCCCTAGGGGTCCGTGCACCTATGTAGTATATACGTGGGACTTAACGGGGTTCCCATATAGTAGCTTTAGGGCCCAAGTATATACTATAGGGCCCAAGTATATACCATATTAGGTACATGGACGTTTCGGGTTTCAGTCGCCAGCCTGCATTGTGAGGCCGCACTCGTCAATGAAGCGGCAGCAGTCGAAGACGTAGATTTCCACGCCTGGGGGAGCTCAGTGTTCCCAAACAAGAGCTTATGTTACAGGAGTTACAATCTTAATATCCTGACCAACTGGTACAACAATCTTGAATTCGCTTTTTACAAATCTTGGAAATCCACCATTATTACACCTTAGAAGTAGTTCTGTCTTCTTCTGACATCTCTTTTTACTGATGTTTACTATAGGTGGTTCTGCAGGAAGAATTCTTGGAAATGCTGCAGTAGATCTAGGATTGCATGATTTATATTATGTTGCAGCACATTTCCATTTTGTTCTTTCTTTAGGACTTATAATTTCTATCTTCTCTGGAATAAAGGAACCTAAACCCTCAACACTCTTAGCCCGAGAAGACCTAACGGGGTGCGAAACCCCCCAGCCGCAACGTGCAGCACCCAAATCGTTCGGGGGGTTGTTCTAGAGCAGGTCACCTTCGAGGTAGCTCTGATTCTGAAACTCCTTATGAATGTACTGCTTTGTGCGCTCAAGGGAGGGAGTTTAAGGGGATCTAGGGGCACCTCAGAAACTTTCTGGAAAATGCCATGAGTTGATTCATCAAAGTGGAAATTGGCAATGCTTATTTCCATGCAATGATTGGAGGGAACACTGGGCTATGCCGCTTGGAGCCTCAAAAACCTCTAAACGCCAAGACCCTAAATAAACCCTAGCCCAAAACCGTAGAACCCTAAACTTTAAACCCTTAGGGTACAGTCTTAAGAAAACCCTAAACCCTACACCCTAAACCCTTAGAACCAGCCCCTCATTTCCGGAGAATTCTGTCACCCTGCAATCGCGAGGGCCCGACTCAGAATCAGGACCATCCTGGATGAGTGCAGAACAACCCTAAACCCTAAACCGAGCAAGTTGCAGAAGGCTTGCAAAAGGGGCTTGGGGTGTAAGGTGTACGGTTTTGGGTTTAAGGTTTAGGGTATAAGGTTGACCTGTGGGTTTAAAGGCGCTTTGGGCCAAGCCAGCGCGCAAACAGTATCTGAGGCAGCAGTTGCAAGAACAACCCCAATCCCAGAACGGTTGCTCTAAGCCTAGACCCCGAAACTTGCACGAAACCGAAACCCCTAAACACTCGACTTCCAGCTGCAGGCGGCTTCGTCTCAACTAAGTTCATACCCTTAATCCTTTGAAGTTACAGGCGGAACTCGTAATTTCTGAAACCGCAACGACCTAAGCCCTAAGCCCTGAGCCCGAAGCCCGAAGCCCGAAGCCCGAAGCCCGAAGCCCGAAGCCCGAAGCCCTAAACGGCACTAAGCCCTACACCCGCAAGCCTAAAAGGGGCCCTGACCGTCTAAACCCTGAGGCCCCAGGGCCCAAACGAACGCCCGGTAACCCTAAGGCCCTGAACCCTGCAGGGCGTAACAAGGGCCTTGACGAGCCGGGAGTCAGGTTCGTGACCACCAGAAGAGCAAAAGTGCCTTCGGTTTTGGCGAATTCAAAAACAATAACTTTCGAGATAACTCAGATCCTAAGCTGAACCAAAAAAGTATCTTTTGAGAGAACTCAGATCCTAAACTGAAACCTTGCTTGGGGGCCCAAAAGCCCTAAACACGTTGCCAAACGCGCCCAAGCTTGAACCTCACCTAGCGGCCACAGAAACCCTAAATCCTTTGGGGCCCAAACCCCTCCAAAAAAGTTGAGGCAACACCCTACATCCCAAAACCCGAAAAGGCGCCTTTGAAAAGAAAACGTGAGCCTTACTGGAGGTTCATGGGTACATATGGGTGGGGTTATAAGTAGGGTAACTCTGATTATAACTTTATTTAGGGTGCCTGTAACAACCACCTATCAGTACTCATGAACCTTCGAGCCCAAGCCACCAAGCAGGTAGTCCAAGGCCAGGAGACAGACGCCCAACAGCACCTGATTCCTGCGCTGCACGCTTGGGGCTTAGGGCTGAGGGCTCAGGGCGCAGGGGCTTAGGGCTTAGGGCTGAGGGCTGAGGGCTTAATTAACAAATAAGGCATTTACAGGACTTCGAGCTTAGCGCTTAGGGTTGAAAATCTGCATGTCTTGTGGTGGTTTCCTAGGCTCCCACACAACATGCAAAAATGGAGCCCCGGTTTGCTGAATGGGGTTTCACGACCCCATCTGCCGCACCCGACCACACACCACCACTTCACACCACACTCCACGAAAAACCAAGACATGCCGCCACAGGCCACCATCACACATCACGCACCATCACACCACTCTCTCACACACACCACACACCACACACCACACACCACACACCACACGCCACACGCCACACGCCACACGCCACACACCACACACCACACGCCACACGCCACACACCACACACCACACGCCACACGCCACACGCCACACGCCACACGCCACACGCCACACGCCACACGTCGCACGTCGCACACCACACACCACACACCACACACCACACACCACACACCACACACCACACACCACACACCACACACTACACACCAAACACCACACACCACACACCACACACCACCACACGCCACTTCCCCTAACTTCCCCTAACTTCCCCTAACTTCCCCTACCATGCGATGGTGGAGATTGCGATCTGAACCTCACGAGCTATCCAAACACGCGATTGAGAGAAGAAAGGACGTGCGAACAGCATATTTTTGAGCAAGATCCAGGTCCGCGGAGCTCTCCGAAAGACGTGCTTGAGTCCGTGAGATAAGAAAGCGTACCAACGAGCGCGCACACAGACCGCGATCTATAGCTCAAGATCCGCGTAACCCTCCAGTATACCCCAAGTGTCGTATTGATGGATTCACTGGTGAGCCCCCGCCTCTTAAAACTGAAAGAGTCAGTAGTTAACCCCCCGCTGGCTGTAAACCGTTCAATTCTGACCCTCCCGTCTACTGCCTCGAAATTATCAATCAAAAGACAACTCTCAGGGGTTTTGTCCTAAAACCTGCCAAGGCAGAAGCTCAATCTAGCCAGCTTCGTGATATTTACGTACTGAACTAAAAGGTTCTATCTAGATATATCTTTTGTTTTCATCTAGTTCTTGATATTGGCGAGCAGATATGTGTATGGCATGTACATAAACATGCGCATGTGCATGTGCCATGTACTTGTACATGTACATCAGTTTTATATGCATAGGCATATGTCATTGTCTATATGCGTTCCGCACATGTAGCATGTGTATCGAACAAGGGTTACACAGCGAGGCAAAAGAAAGGAGACCTGGGAAGGGCCGATTTGGTTTGAAGCGCAGGGCGTTAAGGATCTACATGAAGGTTCATGGGTACTTATACGTGGGGTTATAAGTACCCAAAAGAACCAGAGTTACCCTACTTATAGCCCTACCAGAACTTAGATGTACCCGTGAACCTCCAAGTAAGGGCTCGGAGGGAGGAGGATCCCCAGAAACCCCCGCCAGAAGGCACCCCCATCCCAGGCCTGAGGACGACGGCAAAGCCCAGCAAGGTGAGGACCCTGGCAAATTTGGGAGGTTTGGGTTGAGGATTTAGGGCTTCAGGGTTTAGGGTTTAGGGTTTAGGGCTTATGGGCTCCTCCCATCAGCTCAAAACAAGCAGGCCCCAAGTCAATATGTCCGCCCTTCCTAGAGCTCTGTCATGACCGCAACACACCGACCAAGCGAATAACGGGCACCCGAACATCCACCCACTGCAAAGAAATTACCGAGTGCAGCCCCATCTAGCCCGGACACGTGACCGGGTTTTAGCGTTCAGGAAGCTTGAAGTTTGCAGGATGCAGATGTGAAGTAGCATTGACGCCACAGTTTCGGGAAGGTTTAGGGTTAGTGTTTAGGGTTTTGGGTTTAGAGCTTAGGGTTTCAGGGTTTGAAGGGGGGGAAGGTTTGGGTCTCGGGTCTCGGGCTTGATGTCTCGGGCTTGATGTCTCGGGCTTGATGTCTCGGGCGGCTTGGGCTTGGGGGGAGCATGCCACCGCTCGGACGACACGCGCCCCTTTTTCCTCGGGCCGCCTCGGTTCTGTCGGTTTAGGTGTTAGGGTGTGGGGAGCCATGGTGGGCAATGGCACGGAGAGCGGCGCCATAGACCTTGGAATGTCTATCTTTCAAGGCCCTTTGCAGAAGAGGGACTATCGAGGTCTTCTCGCCACCCCTTGCAGCCAGGGAATCCAGCGCCTCGACGGCTGAAAGGCGTACTTGTGAAGAGACATCGGAGACGGCCTTGTCCAGGATTGGCAAAACTAAGTTCAGGTCCTTCGTGCACGCGAGCCCCAAGGCCTTGACAGCCGGGGCACGCACTTGCCAGTTGCTGTTAGCATCCGCCGCCACCGCCTGCAGTGCCTGCAGACTGGACAGCTCCAGCATGCAGCCGCTGGCCAGCTCAGGCAAGGCCGGCAGAGCCAGGAGGATTAGCTGGGCCACGTCCAACCTAGCATCACCAAACTGGGCTGCGCCCAACCTAGCATCACCGAGGGTCTTCGCCAGGGCGGGCAGCACCCAAGTGGGGTCAGCAGTGCCCATGCCAACCACCGCCTGCACAGCTGCCTCCCGAACGTCGGCATCGTCATTTTTCATGGCCAGCGCCAGGCTTGCCAGCACCAGGCCAGGGTCTCTCTTGCCCAAAGCAGCCAAGCCCTGCACAACCTTCAGCAGGACATGTGCCGGAAAAAACCTGGCATTCAGCAGCTTTTCCAGGTCAGGATGCCCCAGGTGCTGGACTCCAGCGCCCATGGCTGCGAAAGCCCGGTCGGCCACTTTTCCGTCGCTATGCGTGATGTCCTCTTCCATAGCTATCAGCCCCTCAAGGACTTTGATGTCAAACATGCGCATGAGGTCAGGGATCGCCACCGCAACTTGTGGGCCGTACTCCTCAAGAAGTCTGGAAACCCGCAACCTCAAGGCTTCTTCCCCGGAGCTCGTCGGGTCGAAGACGCCGAATCGCGCGGCCACCTGCTGAAGGTCATGCCACTCGACCTCCCCCTGGGAGAGGCAGGCTTGGAAGAGCTCCCATGTCAGAGCCTTGTTGCGGAGCTGACACTCGTCGCGCACGCGGAAGCCTGGCTTCTGGAAGGGGGTGGCACGGGCATCCATTCGATGCGCCTCCTCTTCGCCTAGAAGCCCCGGGATATCCAGACAGGAGAAGCTCCCCACCTGCTTCCAAGTCTCCGGCACACCTGTTTCCTCGATCCTTCCGCGAATGAAGGGCACCAGGTGCTTGCACTTGACCGCAGGATTTTCATTGAGGATCCTGAGTCCCCCTTTGGGCGGATGCCGGGCTAGGGCAGGGAGCTCGAAGCGGTAGAAGATGCTAGTCACTAATGTCCACGGGCCTCCCTGCAAGGTCTTGTTCAACAACACCCGAACAAGACCCTCCTCACTTTGCAGGACGACTGCCTCAGAGGCCGACTGCCACAAGGGTGCCTTCTGCGTCCAGCTACAATCGCCAAGGATCTGGCCCTGGGAGTCCTTCACGCCCTCCATCTCCTTAGCTGAACTTGGAAACCCTGGCAAAAATTAGAATTTTAGCTGTTTCTTATGAGTTGTAGCACCCAAAAATCGAAAATCATTCCCCAGTATCCCAAAGTCTCTAAAAGGCTGCCCAAAGGTGTCCTGAACTGGTCGTCTGCACCGCCTTCGTGCAACCTTTCGTGTTCCAAGAAAGCAACTAGAGGCTGGCAAGCTCCCATCTACACATCTACGCATATCCGCAAAGGGGCGGTTGAGCTAGTACTACTAGCCGAACGTGACGAACGCCATGCCAAGAAGCATGTACAGACCCAGCGAGTTGCACCAAAACTTGCGCGACTGGGGCGAGGCACCACTCCACAGCATCAGGTTCTTCAACCCAAATCCAACACGATTGTAAAGCAGACCATTTGAAGCATCCGGCCTACCTTTCCACAATGCACGGCTGATATCCTTCGCCATTTCTTCCGCATTCACGTCTAACATGTAGGTCACAGCCTGCAATGACCGATTTTGCAGCGATGGGCGGACTCCCTCACAAAACTCCTCCAAAAGGGCACAGAATACTCTCCAGTAGGGTTTAGGGTTTTTCCTAAACCCTAAACACTAAACCCTCCAGATTGTGGAAGGGTTGAGGGCTTGGCATGAGGCGCGAGAAACCCAAGCCAACTCGTTGAAGCCCTAAACCCCAAACCCTAACCCTAAACCCTAAACCCTAAACCCTAAACCCTAAACCCTAAACCCTAAACCCTAAACCCTAAACCCTAAACCCTAAACCCTAAACCCTAACCCTAAACCCTAAACCCGAAACCCGGAGCCCACTCCTTGATGTGGCGGTCCAAACTCTCCATCTGCTTCTGGCACTGGCTGTGGTCCGCCCGGAAGGCCTGCCAAGAGCAGGCTGCTGAGTAAGCTATGTGGTTTGGGATGTTCTCATGGGGTTTAGGGTTCAGGGTTTAGGGTTTAAGGTTGTAGGTTGTAGGTTGTAGGTTGTAGGTTGGGATGTTCCCCCTCATACTAACAGCCCCTAATAGGGGTTATAGTACCCATTTAATACTCCTAAAAGGACTGTTAGTGTAAGGGGGAACATCCAAGAATCCTACTATTTGGGGTCTACTTTAGGGTTCCCCTATTTTCGTAAACCCCCATATACACCTCCGAAACAAGTGCTGATCTTAGTATGACAAGGGATGTTGTGGCCTCATGGTTTATGTTCACTGCACGGTCAATGCTCTCATTGTGCTGCAGCTGCACGTGATGAGGAAACTCCAAGCCCTGAAGGAAACATTTAAAAAACATATATATATATATATATATACATATATACATATATACATACATATATATATATAACGGCCCGCAATGCACCCCGGCCTCAGCTCTATCCACCTCTGCCACCAATGTCCAATCTCGAAGCCTGGAATGTCCTCCGGCGCAGCTCAAACACAAAAGGGATGCTCAAGAACACCATAAGAACACCATACGAAGCAGGGTATATATATATATATTCTCACCAATAACAGTAACATAGGGTGATGCGCGTCCCTAGAGCCAAAGAGACTTGTGGCTGACTTCCCCTGGCCTCCGATCTCCTGCGACGAGCCGACACGCGTGGCTGCCGCTGCAATCCAGCCCGCCGCCAAAATGGCACATAGTGAAACTGTCATACTGCAATTCTCAAACAACGCCTGGTGGCTGTGCCCCAAAAATGCGACGTAGGGGCGGCCAGGCAACAGCACAGGTTCAGGGTTCTCAAGGTTCAGGGTTTAGGGTTTCGAGTGGGGGGGGGCGGCCAGCGATCTTTATATATGTATATAGATAGATAGATAGATAGATAGATAGATAGATAGATAAATAATACATATATAGAGGATATACACATATAAATACATACAATATATATATACAGGTATATATGTAGATACATATATATATATATATATACTAAAGTCCCTGACACGCCTGAAAAAACACCTGTAAAGGTCAACTCCCTCTTAGGGCAAAAACTCGTCCGCGCGGCCGCAGGGCCAATTCTGCGAGGCGGTAGCTGTGATGCAGCACCTTGGGGAGTGAGTCTAGAGAGGGTTTGGGGTTTAGGGCTTAGGGTTTAGGGTTTAGGGTTTAGGGTTTAACCGGGCGGCTAGAGGCCGAACCCAGTCCGCGGCACAAATCAAGTGATCCGTCGCACAGGGTCGGCGGATGCCTGGATCATCCTGGATCTCTTTGCTTTAGTTCGTAAGGGGGAGGGGCCAAGGACCTAAAGCCTAAGACCGTACCTCAGCTAGTCTTACAAAACCCAAAGAAAATCTGGCCCCTTACTTAACGCTGGCAGGCGTGGGGCATGGAACGCAACGGACTCCGTGACGTCGTACTGCCGGCCTAGGCCGTTGAGAAAATGAACCTTGACTTCGAATGAACCTTACTTGGAGGTTCATAGAGTTATAGGTAGGGTTATATGTACCCCAAATGTGGTTGTCATTACAGTTGCCATAGTTAACCCTAAGTTTTCTAATTAATAATCATGAAGATTCTTGCACCAACAGTTGTAACCACTTCGGGGTTTGAGGCCGCACGCTGTGTCAAGGGCTCTAGGGTTCCGGTGTGCCGGGTGGGACATCTCAGGCGTCGGGTTTAGGCTGTAGGGTTTAGGACTTTGGGGTTTCAGGCTTTGGGTGCTTCTCGCAGCGTAGGGCTTTGAGGTTTAACCGAGGAAGAGGGTACCATCTTTGTGGTTTAAGAACGTTTAAGAGTTCGTAGAACCTAAGCCCTAAACCCTACAACGACCTCTGAGTCGAGATGTTCCCTAACAATTCTGGTCCTGAACAAGCATCGTTTTTTTGGCGCCCGACATGTTGAGGAAATTACTACCTTTTTTATGGCCTCCTCAAAGGGGCCACAATGCAACGCACGTCCTTCGATGAGAGGTCGGTTTAGAGCCCAAAGGAGCCTCGGCCTCCTACGCTTTGCATCGGGCGCCCGGGCGAATCCAGCTTGAAGCGTAGTAGTCAAAGTTGACCTAGGGCTTAAACCCTAAACCCTAAACCCTAAACCCTTAAGGCTTGAAGGCCTCTGGGATGCAGGAAGCTTAGGAAGCTCAGGAGGCTTAGGGAGCGGGGACGTTAGGGACATGTGGGACATTCCTCCGCCAAAGCACCCCCAAACCCCCAAAGCACCCCCAAAAAACCCTAAAGCCCCCCAAAACAGGCCCCAAAGCAGGGTTTGGCGTGGTTTTGGGCTTTGGGGTTTAGGGTTCTTTCGAGAAGGTTCCTAGGCAGGTAAATGTAGGGCTGTTGGTACCCCCCCCAAGTAAGAATGTAACCAGGAAACACCATTGCCCCCATGCTGAACCGAGAAACGATGTTCAGTTCAGCTACTGAGTGGTTGGTTGTACTTGGTTTCTCCCATTGTGCATCTTTCTTGCCGCACCAAATAGGCATCGTCTCGGCTCTCATCTTGGAGATGCTTTTGGAGTGCTTGAGGGGACACGCCGAGGCATTTCAGCAAGGTAGAGGCGAGGGGATAGGAAGGAGCGGTCGTGTTGAGAATTTAGGCTTCAAGCGGCTTAGACTGGAGAGCCTACGAGCCCAGCCCCCCCCTGGGCTTGCCCCACTCTGGGCTCGATTGTAAGGTGCTCCTTGTAGATTTTAGGGTTTAGGCAGTTTAGGGTTGAGGCTTTTGGGGTTTGTGGGATTTGGCATACCGATAAGCATCCATCATGCAGATCAAACCACACATACTTTGACTCCGGCAGCGGCCGAAGGATGTAGTACCCACACAAGGGACCTAACAAGTCAAACAAAAACCCAAAAAAATAAAAAATAAAGAATCCGCCATAAATAAATATATATATATATATATGAGCTTTAAGGAGTCATGTTGAGTTCAGTCGGATCCCTTTCTCCCTTTGCATTCCTTAAATGACTCCTGTAAGACAAGTTCAGAAACCCTCATTGAGAGCAACCCCCAACCCCCCCCCCCCGCCCCCACCCCCCGGCCATTTTTAGGGTTTGGGGTTGAGGGTTTAGGGTTTAGGGTTGAAGGTATTGAGAGCAAGCCCCCCCCCCCCCGCCCCCCGCACATCAAGGAGGCATTTGTAGCATGCGACATCCCTGAAGTCCCCACATCCATCTTCCACGTAGGCAGCTTCAGGCGAGCGGCCGCGGCTTGGAGAACGTTCACCTCAACGCTTCTTAGAGTCGGTCTTAAAGTTTGAGATGTAGAAGGCTGTATGGTCTCGCGTCGAAAACAACTTCACCCTAAGCCCCAAACCCCAAGCCCCCAGAATCCTATACCCCATAAACCCTAAAAGCTTTGCAAGAATGGTCCGAGCCACCAGGGACACAAAGGCCATGGAAAGAAGGAGAGACAGCTGGAGTCTCGAGTACAGAAGGCCTCAAGCGGCGCGTTGTTTCGGACGCAGGATTTGGGGCTTAGGGTTTGGCACGCATCGAGGCCTGATGTTCAGCAAACCTGAAGAAACAGCCGTCTGGATGCTACTCGGGCATTGTTCCTTCCGGGTGGCTTATTTCAACCTTACATATATATAGGGAGCCTGACTATAACAGGTACCTGTGAACTCATGATAACTATATACCTTTATATATATATACATATATATATACTATTTATTTTTGTATATATCTGTATATACTTTTTCAGTGATTCATTTTTGTTTTTTTTGTGTATCTATTCATGAGGCCCTCCTGCGGCCGGACTCCGCACGGGCCTGCTACCTGGACCTCATCGCTGAATGCATAAGCTTTTTTCTGCCTAAATTCCGGGGGTCCGGTGGTGGCCTCAATGCTGTGGGGTTTGGGGCTTGAGTAGACCGGGTTCGTGCTTGCGGCTCCGAGGCAAGTGGACGCGTAGAGCAGCACCATGATCCGGGGCACGTTCGTCACCAGCATTACCTAAGGCAGTCGTTGAAGGGTTTGCTAGGGCTTTCTGCGGTTTTTCGAGGGTTAGACTCTCAAGCCTAAACCCTTAAAGCCTAAAACTTGAGGCGCAGAGTTTCGGGATGTTCTGGTCCGCAACAAGGTGTCTAACAGGCCTAGGATGGAAGTGATGACCGGTAGAAACCGTTTGCATCTTAAATACTGACCTCCCCTAGGACACGTTTTGAGGTAACAGGTTCCCACCTTTGGGCTACTCGGCTACTCGGAGCTTCAGCTCCCAGTCCTGAACCCGGCCAGAGGGGCATGGCTGTCAAAGCGCGCCGAATCTGTGGCGCTGGGCTCCTGCAGATGTCGCCCTAGACCTACTCGGAGGTTCATGGGTAGGCTTATGAGATGACCATGTGTGAGCCGTAAACCTTAAAACGTTCGATCGTTGGCTCGGCATGTTGCTGGGCATCCCCGCATATCATTACGACGAGGCCCTGTAGGCCCAGGAACTGCAGGTTGATCTACATGTTGGGCCCCTTCTGGGTCTCGATTCTTCTGTGTTCCCTAGGCCCAACACAAGGGCCGCAAATTTTGGTCACCTTCTTAAAAAAATGCGGTGCCAAAAGGCGCCAAACCCTAAAGCCCGCTTGCTCCTCGATCTCGTCGACCAAGGACGGGCGCATCCCTCTCTGTTTCCAGCACTGCCGCGCGCCTGGGCTTAGGGCGCCACGCTCCCTCCCTCCCTCCATCCCTCCCTTCATGCCTCCCTCCCGCCCTCCTTCTTCAAGGAGCATCAACCCGTTTCAGAGTCTGTGTCTCTCTCTCTCTCTTGGACCTAGAGTCATCAAAAGCGCCACGTTGACCTGCTACATCCCCCCGAACCCTAGACCATTCCTAAACCCTCAAGGCCCCATAACCCCCCTAAACGCCTAGACCCTAAGCCATACACCAATACACACCCTAAAACCCCCAAAACCTTGGCCTTGAAGCTGTTCTTCCTCTGGGCCTCTGGCGGACCACCGGTAGGCAGCTCAGCAATCCAAAGACGGCAAAGACGATGTACTTGAAGAACCATGCCTTCCTCCAACTTCATGTGGTGGGGTTTGGGGTTTGGCGTTTAGGGTTTCGGGATTAGGGATTAGGGTTTAGGGGTTTAGGGGTTTAGGGATTAGGGGTTTTGGGTCAGTTTCTCTACACCATGGCTCCGTCTTGGGGTACCCAGAATGCCACGGACCGTCTTGAAACGGAGACACGCAAAGACTCCAAGCTCAGAGAAACGACCATTTGCTTTGCAGTTGGGGTGCGGGGTGGGGCTAAGGGCTTAATTAAGATTTAGGGAATTTAGGGAATTTAAGGAATTTAGGGAATTTAGGGTGTGGTTTTGGGGGTTCGAGACCAGCCCTAATAACCCTCAAAACCTAAACCCTAAACCCTGTGCCCTAAGCAACACCCGAGAACCCTACACGGCTCCTAGGGACCAAGGGTCAAGGAGAGACTCGAACATGGAGCCCTGCTACGGAACATGCCCCGGAACGTAAAAACAAAGCCTCAGTTTACGGAGTTTACGCAGATAAGGGACCCCTAATATGGACCCCCACTTAAATATAATAGGGTAAGAAGGACCCCACTAAAAGGTACCCTCTAATGTCGAAAAAACCCCCGAAGCAAAATTCAGCCGCAGATGTCCCCCAGAGCAGAACTCCGAGGAACTCCGAAGCTTTGGCTTCCCCAACCCTCAGCCCAGGCGCAGTGGCGAATGTCGGCTGAGGGTGAAGAGGTTCCGCCGAAAGGCCCAATCGCGGCTGATCAGCTCCATCTGCGCCAGGGTCGACTTGCTCGAGACTACGGTAGCTTTAGCTGGGGTGGCAAGTAGTGCAGCCAAAACGAAAGCTGTTGGTAGCCTGTTCCGCACTGTTCAGGGCACTTCTGACTACACTTGTACGAACCTCGGAAAACCCCGGCCTCCATGCCAACCAACAGCAAGTGCGGCAGGGACAGCAGGAAGCAGATGCCCCTGGGAGCTTTGCGATTAAGCACAGGCGAGGCGGTTTTTCAAACTCTCGAGCACCCCCCCCCCCCCCCCCCCCCCCCCCCCCCCCAGAGTGGGCTGCAGGCCAACTGTCCCTTGCAATGACAACCTGACATGTTCTCGCCTCTGCTAACACGGCCTGCAGCCCTGGGTGGAGTGAGAAGATCGAAGGCAACGCAAATGCGGGACCCATGACGATCCTCCATGCTGGCAAGGGGCCAGTCGCCTCTGGCTATGCAGAGACAAATGCCTCGGCCGTGACAGTGGCGGCAGTTCGGGGGAAAGCGAAATACCTTAAAATGTTCCACTTATACTAGCAGCCCTCAATAGGGATTATAGTAGTACCCCCCATTATTACCCTACGAAGGACTGCCAATATAGGGGGGAAAATCCCAAGAAATACCCCCACATGTGGCAATCGTCTCGGGGAATGCTGCTCTGGAGCATCGGCTGGCGGAGGCCCCCCCTGAAAATCACCCAAAACCAGCCGAACTCATGTCTGCCCCCCATAAGCCCCAAAAGTTCCTAAAGTTCCTGAAGTTCCTAAAGATCCTCGAGTTCCGAACCCAATCTGCCGCCAGGGCTGCAGAAATTGCTAACCCACATCTCCAGGAAGAAGAAGCACCATGACCAGCAGCGCCTCAATTGAGTCCAGACTTTGGAGTTTTCAGAGGCTTGGGATTTTATGGGGTTCAGGGCTTCGGAACCTTAAAGGGCTTAGGGGTTTGGAGCCTGAGTGTTTTTTGCAGGTTTTGGGTTCATCCCAAACCCCCAAAACCCTGGTATAGGGGTCGGCATAACTCCTAGTAGTATTTTCTTGTGGGTTCCTTTATCATTATACGAGAATGACCCCCAAAACCCTATTCTAATTTATTAAGGCCCCTAAACTAAACACTAAAAAAAAGAGGCGAGGCCGGCGCGAGGAGCGCCGTGCTTGGCTTGAGGCATGTTCATGGTGCGTCATCCTCGAAACTGGCTTCGTTTTGGGATCCTGGTATCCCCCTCTCAGGGGTTTTCGGCGCGTCGTCGCCGCATCCTCGAAGCTTTCGGCGTTTTTGGACACTCCCACTTCGTCACGTGTCCAAAAGTGTCAACGGTCAGAGGAATCATGGGGGGTTGGGGTCGCCATCGTCATAGCTGTCATAGGTTTCGGACCTTCCTCCTTCTTCGCTGGGAGTTGCACTTGGGTGTCACCTCATCGCGTCAGCAGTTGCTTCAAATTTCGCCCAGGAGCAGCGATTCTTCGGCACGCCCACGTGCGATTGCAACTGCGTCGCAAGGCAGGGCGTGGCTTGGTGCCAGCGGTCGTACCATAAAAACGACGTGTTTATGAAGGGTCTTCCACTGAATGCGGTGCTGTCCTTCGCTGTTGCTCTTCAAATGACCCCGATGAAGATGGCACGATGGTGATGGTGGAGATGGAGATGGAGATGGAGATGAAGATGAAGGTGACGGTGAAGGTGAAGATGAAGATGAAGATGAAGATGAAGATGATGAGGACGAGGCGGAAGAGGAGGAGCACGCGACTTTCGGATGTCCGCTGTCTTGGTTTGAGGTGGGGTGGGCTACTCTAGGCAGGGAGAACTTTAGGCACATAGAATTTCGGAATTGCGAAAACGAAGGGGGGGGGGTACCCTTTTTAGGGATTCCTACAATAACGATCATAGTCTTTTGGGGCATATTCGGGCTACCCGCGGTTGCCTAGTGGGATCCTCAAATTGGCTCTTAGACTCTTAGCAGGGGTTAAGAACCCGTGCCTTTTGGGGGAATGAACTGGGGTCCTTCTTCTCTCAACGTAGAACTTGCTACTAAGAATCAGCATTAAGCCCCAAGCCGTGCACCCGAACCCCTTCAACACCTAAGCCCTAACGTCCCTCAACCTCTCACCCGAAGCCCCAGAAGACCCCCAACCCCAGAGAACCCATGCAGCCGGAGAACAGGAGGTTCGGATCCACCAAACCATCTGCAAGGGAACTGGCACCAACCTCTGACGGTAGATTGGAGGCTTGGTTGAGGGCTTCGCAGTGCTCGGACCTCAAGGTTGTCTTGGTTTGAGGAGCTCAGGGGTGAAGTGCTTGGGTGGTGTTAGAGGGGTCACGCCTCAGCCGGGTTGGAGTTCAGGGGCCTCGGATTTCGGCTTCAGACGCACGGGCCTCGATGTGGCTCGGGGTAGTCTGCCGGCCGAAGTGATCCTGGCGAGCAGGGGGAAGAGCTTGAGAGCCGATCATAGGATGATGAGTCCCCCAACAACACAGGCAAGGTAGACGGGAACGCTTGGGGCCGCACCATTTTGGGGGGGGAAGGCTATGACAGCCATGAGAGCCCAATATCCCGTAAATAAAGAACATGTACCGGACCCTCCAAGACCTTCACGGACCTGTGGGATTCCGGAACACCTTGAAGGCTTCTGCCTGCTCTTGGGGTCTCGTTTAACAAAATTGGTGAACCCTCAACCCTAAAAGCCCTGAACCCAGGCACCAAAGCCCGACTAGTAGGAACCCAAGCAAAACCCTGAGCCGAAGCCCTCAACACCCTCAAAACCCAGAACCCTAAATTACCCTAAACCCTAAACCCTAAACCCTAAACCCTAAACCCTGAACCCCACAAAGCCTGGCATCGGAGAAGAAAATTTCGAACAAGCCCTGTGGGTCCTCTCCCAGCTCCGCACCCGGAGCGCAGCTCTCGTTTGAGGAGGCCAAGGCATCCCACTCCTTCGTTTCGGGTTTTGGGGTTTGGGGTTTAGGGTTTAGGGTTTAGGGTTTATGGTTTATGGAACTTCGTAACCCAAGTATATCTGCACTAGCTTATCAACCGACAATAATTCTATTAGGGTGCTTAAGGGGCTTGTAAGTGGCTTAGAACTACTCTTCTAATTGGGTTACAAGTACCCTGAACCCAAAAGCCCTAAAGCCCTGAACCCTAAACCCGCCATCTCCGAGGGTCCTTCGACTCCGCGATGATGTTCAGACTTCGCCTGCTCAGGGCTCTGCTGCGCTGGCATCTGGCCCCAAACAGAAGCCATGCCCCCCCCCCCGTTGTTTTAGGGTTTAGGGTTTAGGGTTTAGGGTTTAGGGGTTTAGGGGTTTAGGGGTTTCGGGTTTCGGGTTTCGGGTTTCGGGTAACGACTCCCCTTTCTTGAAATAGTTGGCCTAGGCTAAGTTGCCCGGTGACCTGGGAATCAAACGGGCTGCCCTTTTTGGTTTGGAAGGGCACCTAACCCCTCGAAAACGGGAATGAGAATACCCCCCCCCCCCCGAACATGGCCATATGCCTAGAAGAGCTTGCACTCTGGGATCAAGGCCCTGAAGCTCCGAAGCTATAACGATTGGCTTGTAGGGTCATGTGGGGTAGTTTTCTGTCGGGGCCTGAGGGTATTTCTGGGAGGACCTTGGACCGAAAACGAGCCGAGCTTGCTCTTGCAAAGGCGTGCAGGAAGCCCCAGGAGCTGCTCGTTGCAAGCTTTGCAAACCAGGGTTTAGGGTTTAGGGTCCAGGGTTTAGTGCCCAGCCTAGGGTTTTAGGGTTTTAGGGTTTTAGGGTTTTAGGGTTTTAGGGTTTTAGGGTTTTAGGGTTTTAGGGTTTTAGGGTTTTAGGGTTTTAGGGTTTTAGGGTTTTAGGGTTTTAGGGTTTTAGGGTTTTAGGGTTTTAGGTTCATGGTTTAGGCTTCGGGTGGCAAAACACTGCGGCCTCTGGAAACAGCTCGATGCAGCCGACGAGGCAAACTCGTGTGACAGCACGACTGGAAGCTTCTCCTGAGGCTCCAAGACTATTCTTCTGTGTTGTGTTACTTGGCGAGCGATAGGTGCATCCCAATGAGGGCAAGAGAGAGAGAGAGAACATAAAAACACAAATTAAAATACAAAAACTCATAAACGCTTTAGGAAAGAGATGGTATTTCATTGAAGATTCTGGAACTTAAGAACTAATTGTCAAGGATAAAGATCAATCAGAGATTCATTCGTTGGTCTAGTTGCTTGCTTGTTCTTTGAGCAAAAACCTCCACAAGAGGTGAATAAGGTTTCTTCTTGACTTGGTCCCCCAAAGGCAGGAAATCCTGACATGAACAACATCGAAAAGACCCAGCGTAGGATTCTCAGAGAGAGGCAGAGGGTTGGGCCTTGCTTCATTTGGGGGAAGGGGGTTGGGGTTCGGGCCTGAGGTGGAGCTTGGGGGGCTGGGGCAAACCCTAAACCCTAAACCCTAAACCCTAAACCCTAAACCTAAGGGGGTAGTTCCGGTCCTGGACGGTTTCGCTGTACTTTGTCTCTTTGGACGGGCCCAGCGAGAAGCGTGCGTCCTGACGTCACCCTAAACCGGAAGCCCAAAACACCCCCAAAGCCTAAACCCCGTAACCCGAAACCCTGAACCCTAAAACCCTAAACCCCAAAACCCGAAGACCATAACACTAAACCTGCTGTCGCGTCACAGCGGCTTCACCTCTAAACTTTGCGGTCTAGGATTCAGGGTTCAGGGTTTTAGGGCTGAAGAGGCTGAGGCCATACATGAAATAGGTGATGATGGATTCAGGAACGAGGGATCGCGGCACCTAATCCCTGAACCCCAACTAATCCTAAACCCTGATTGTGGACCCATTCTTTTAACCCCGCCACACGCCGCCCCACCCCCGACTTTCATTCCTGGCCCACAGTGGAGTCTTCGGTGCTGGCGCTGGAGGCCGCCACGTGGATGGTGTAGTTCACCGTCTCCTTCACTACCCGGAATACAGCTACAACCCCTTTTTGCGGCCGTCCGAGTTTAAACCCAGCTAGAACTACCCATGCGTCTCCA